GTCACATTATAACACCCCAACGGTTAAAAGGGCGAGCATATTTGGTGTGATGGGGATTCGAACCCGCGACCCGCAGATTGCGAGTCGAGCGCCCTAACCACCTGGCCATGCCGGGCCGCTGCTAATGTGTATATATTTCTTTACTTTCATACCTGTAATACTGTTTTTGGATACTGGACATCTCCACACGAAGGATTTGTTCCACCTGAAAATAAGGTAACAAGAAAGCACAACTAATTGAAATCTGAATCATACAAAAGGCAAATAAAAATATAGCCCACAAAAATTAATGAGTCTTTTTGGCTGTGGTTATGGCAAAATGTTCAACCCTAACAAGAAATTTATTGACTAATTCTGCTTTTGGCAATAATGAACATACACACAAAAACAAAAGTTGACAAAGGCAAGAAATAATAAAATCATGCTCACTTCTCCTTATGGATATGCGTGGAAAAGTCTGAACTGGTTACACAGATAAAAGTTGGGAAAAGGGAAAAATTAAAAGTAAGTACTTCTTAAAAACTGACTGGTTGAGTGTAAAGCTACTGAGGCTAAAGAACCAAGAGCAAAAAACAAATACATATATAAAGGCTTCCCGTATGTACATTGATTGTTGAAAATAAGTGAATGTGTAGAATTAGAAATTGTAACAGAAAGTGTTAATTCAGAGATTATATACATACAAGTTTCACGTTTGAAAAATAACAATTAACAATTTAATTAAACTGCCATATTTGGTTCAGCAGCCTAAAACATCAAAAATTCAGAAACTACTTTTCAGAACTGCAAATGGAGAACTGAGTAGAATAAAAATACTGTAGAATTTGTCACGTTTACAGAAATTGACTTAATAGCAGGTAAATAAAGCCTCAACCATGGTGTGTCACATTTAAAGAAATTAACTTAATAGCAGGTAAATACAGCCTCAACCATGGTGTGTCACATTTAAAGAAATTAACTTAATAGCAGGTAAATACAGCTTCAACCATGGTGTGTCACATTTAAAGAAATTAACTTAACAGCAGGTAAATACAGCCTCAACCATGGTGTGTCACGTTTAAAGAAATTAACTTAATAGCAGGTAAATACAGCCTCAACCATGGTGTGTCACGTTTAAAGAAATTAACTTAATAGCAGGTAAATATAGCCTCAACCATGGTGTGTCACGTTTACAGAAATTGACTTAATAGCAGGTAAATAAAGCCTCAACCATAGTGTGTCACATTTAAAGAAATTAACTTAATAGCAGGTAAATACAGCCTCAACCATGGCAGAATTTGAGTAGTGGACATATTTATTAATTCTCAGAATACATTTGGATTAATAAATTTATCAACTATCCAAGCTCTATCAGTAATATTAAAAACAATATCAATTGAAAGTTTTTACACTAATCTATTGACATTTTTTTTGGTAACATAAATTCAGGTAAATTTAATAATCTAAAACATATTTAATGTGAAAACACATACAAGGTTGAGATCAGTGGCCATACTTAACTCTGGTAACATACGAAAGAAGAATGTTTCAAAACAAAAAAAACTACAACAGTTGAAATTTATGTTTCAGTGACACCAATACACTGAATACAGCCACATCAGTTAAAAAGAAACAGTGAGCATTTGAAAGAATTGTACCCTATTTAAAACATTCCAAAAAGTTTTTAATACTTCATCTAGTAAAGAAATATTGTACTATAAAAAAAAATTCCCATTTGTTATGAAAAAACAATGTTTAATAATAAGAAACCTTGGCAGGTAATGATTTTTCAACATCTTTCTTCACTCTTCTTAAAATAAATGGTTCAAGCTGTTTATGCAGCTTTGAATAACCTTTATCAGCTGAATCTTTGTGTTCTTGCTCAAAGTCTTCCCACGACCGAAACCTAACCAAAATAAATTATTATACACATTTTAATTCATAAAATTTTAAGTCTGTTCAATTTTCAGTGTTCAAATTTTATGAAAGTTAAAAAAGTTGGGTAGCATAAAATACCACAAGTATTTATCAAATATCAGTTTCAAAATCTTTTAATCAGAAATAACCTAATACATTATTTCTCTGTTGTTTGTTTAAGCACAAAGCTGCACAATGAAATATCAACACTGTGTCCATATACGTGGATTGAATCACAATTCCAAATCATAATAAATGATAGATTAGGATTTAAACGTTACTTATTATTGTCACTTCAAAGTGAATTTCATCCAATAAGAAAAGTGTTCCATTTTTAGATTTTTAAAGCTTTACACGTAGTACACATTACTTACTTCTCACGCATTATAAAATGGAGCAGTGCCCACAGTTCCTTCAGGGAATTTTGAAGTGGAGTTCCTGTAATCAGAACTCTATGATTTGTATCAAATTCAAATAAGGACTTGTAGAGAAGAGAGTCATCATTTTTAAGTCTGTGGGCTTCATCAACCCCAAGAACAGCCCAACTAACACCACCCAGGAAACTCTGAAATATTAGAATTATATATAAATATAAACTGCTTTCAATAAAATATTGTTATTCTGTACAAAAATACATAACTTCCAAATACTAATAGTTCATACATGAAAAAGAAAACGTACTAAATCTTTAGTATAGAAAAATGCAAATACGTGATATAAAATTATAAAATTGGAAGTATCTTTTTAAAGTTTTTCCATAAATTTGTTTTTAACACACTACCCTTGCCTCCAAGACTTCAACATTGCATACCTTAGAATGTGTCACGTTTAAAGAAATTAAGTTAATAGCTGGTAAATACAGCCTCAACCATGGCAGAATTTGAGCTGTGGACATACTTATTAATACTAATATTACATGTGCGTTAATAAATTTATCAACTACCCAAACTCTATCAGTAATATCAAAAACAATATCATTTGAAACTTTTACACTAATCTATAGACATTTTTGGTAACATTAGTTCAGATACATTTAATAATTTAAGATGCTTTTCATAGGAAAGCATCTTAAAATCCACAAACAATGACTGATGTATTGAAAAAGTCATATCCAAAACCACACCAGTATCGTTTTATAATTTTAGTTTACAGACCTTTAGAGTTATCAGTTTTTGATTCTGTTGGGTTTTACAAACTTTCTGTTTGCCTTGAAAAAAGACAGTGATGACGATGTAAGTGTGATGAATGGTATGCTGATAATTCAACTATAAGTCATACATATTCTGTATAACTACAGTTTTATATGATATAAAGCATATGATTTCCCAGTGGTAAGGATGTTGATCTATAACCTGATCGGTTATAAGACTTTACGAATGAAATGGTAAATCGAAATTCATCTTGTAACGAGGGTTAGGAAAAATGTTTTCAAGATGCAGACTTGCTGAATATATTAGTATAATTCTTTATGTATTTTGTTATGACTATACAAAGGGTAAATATTAAATTTAAAAAAGAAATTCTACTTACTTTGTCTTTTAGGAGAATTTCGTATGTTGTGAGAAGTACATTAAACTTCAGCCGTTTGTTGCCAGGATGGCACCACTCATACTGACGTATCTGTTACAAAAAGGGCTAGCTATGAAACTAACATACATAATTATCCTTAGAAATAACAGTATCAGATAATTAAATACAAACAATAGGTGAAGCATATAAAATGTACTTTTAGAATCACTTACATTTAGAAATTCCAATGTTTCTTATGATAAAATGTTATGAAGTATAACTAATAGCATCTTTAGCTAAATTACAATACAAATAAAAATGTTTCTTGTAGTATACAACATAAGAACTGATGCCATTATAAGTTTATATTGCTTTATATCAGTTAATATCACACTAATAAAATGGTGATATAAATTGTAATAAGAAACATAACTGTTAATGCTGAATTAAGAAGTCTCATACTGTATACATGCATATTTATATCATCACAAAGTGGAAAACTCATCATCTTAAATAAGTATACAGATGTGAATATAAGTAAAGTTTACACAAAACACACAAACTTGTTTAGATACATATTAAACAAAAAACAGAAATAATAAAAGCAACTTTGAATATTCAACCAGAAATAAATAAGTACAGCTTTGATAAATGATTTTGATATATTAACTGTAACATTGGAACTGTTGTGTAAAACAGTATCAGTCACACATTCATCCTCACTGATACAAAAAAATAACAGTTACTTGTTCAAAATTACTTGGACATGTAAAGTTTATACAAATAAAAATACTTTTTCACTTTTACAAAATCAGTCTAAATTTGGCTATTTTGAATCTTTTAAGAGATAGAAACCTATAAGCAATTAATCAACAGGAAGGAATGTGAATAGCTTTAACTTCCAAACAGATTTCAATTGTAATAACATATAGGTAAAGGTGTTTTCTATTTCTAAACTTTTCTTTGAAAGTATCTGACAAAAATAAATGCAGGGCAAATTAATCAACATTTTAATCTTTTGCTTTAGTTTATGATAAAAAGCACAGTTTGTTGACTGAAATATTTCTGCACCAATTAGCATTAATTTCTTTTTCTTTTTTTTAGTTGTTGAAGATGTCCAAAAACATAACAAATACTTCATTAGTAAAACGTTTTATGTGACTAATTATTAAGAAATGATAGTGAAGAAGAGTGTATAATAATATGTGAACCTCACTATAACAGGCTGGTTGGGATACAAGAGACACAGTAGTGGTTCAGATGCTATTTATATTATGAAACTGCTTGAACAACACGAGTTTCATTGTGAACTGGATTAAATTGAAGAAGTAGAATTTTTAATAATTCTATTTAAATCACTACAAATTAGAATTAAGGTAAGGACATAAATGATCATAAGAATCCCAGACTCCAAATTTACCATGATCTACCAGATCACCAAAATAAACTGGTCACTTCTTGATTTTATACTGTCTTTGATCACAAATTGCCCATTTTCTGGTTATGTATCACTGTAAGCCGGGAAAACAATTTCTGTATTCTGGGTTTATCATCTCTTAAATTACTCTTCTGTTATTTTTTCAAGTCGCTACAACTAATTTTGGAAGTTAAATTTCATATTTTTTTTCTTACAAAATTACAACCTCTCAGAATTTTTTCTAGAGATACAAAATTCTTCTTGCTAGTTATTTCTTTAAGGAAAATGCCTTCTGGTGGTCACAAACTCTGTCTGTTTTTATATTCATTTTTCATGAAATAGTGAATATACATAAGATTTGGGTAAGTTAATTGGTGGGATTATCATTCCAATGTTTGTTTGGTACAATTGTAAAAAAATAAAATCTCTGCCAAATATTTCTTTTATGCAATATGCTGATGTTTTGTATATTAGTGATTAATCAATACTCATTTTTAACTCTTTGTTAATATTTTGAGTAGATATATATATATATATATATGTCATAAGTCACCAAAATTCCAAGACCCACCTAGCAAGGAAAAGGTCAACTATGCATTATCTATCCCCAGTGGTCAAATTCTAGTTATTAAGTGTTTTAACTTTTATAAATTTTTCTTTTATAGTTCATAAATGCAGGCTCAATAAACTTGTATAGTGTATTAAAGGTGTTGCCAGCTGGTGGTCAAAATTGCAATTTTTCTTCTTTTAGAGCAATGAAATTTAGTATTTTATGTTTATGTAGCTTTTGTGTACCCAGTAAAAGTTATTTAGATCAAAATATTGTGTAAGTATTAAAATATATGTTTTAAGTAGTAGAACTAATCCATCAAATCCATTTTTTACAAAATTACATACATGTTGAACCCACAATCTTGAATTGTAGAAAGTATCACATACTAACTTTTATAATGTGTATTCTCCCTTAAAGTCGATATAATTTTTAAGTCTGCCTTATTCAAGAAAACAGTTCTAAAACAATATGTACTTATAGGCTTAATCTGCTGGTCACAAATAAACAGCTTCCAGCATTCTTTATCAGTCTTTAAATAAAAATGCAGCTTCTACACTTACATATATTTTAGTCGCAACCAATCTACCTTGACAACAGAGCTGCTATTATGCAAATCACTTGAAAAAATGAGTCTTTTACATCTTCAGCTTTTTTGTTTTTTTACTTTCTCATAAAATTAAACATGTATCTAATTCTATGTAAGCTCACCAATCTCACATTGTGATAGTTTGGAGGGTTGAGCCATTCAGCCTTATGAGAAAAAACGGAACTGAGTCAAATGTACTGTCACCTTGAAAATTTACTGAAGTCATTTCTAAATATAGTTCTGTTACCTCTGTTTTTAAAAAGTACAAAAAAAAGAACAGAAAAAAGTCATTTCTAAAAACAAAAACAGCAGCAAACCTTTGTTGCATGTCAGCTGAATTTTTAAGATGGATACAGTAAAAGTCAGGATCATATGATATCAGCCCATCTTCCAAGAATTTTTTTATCTCTTTGACAAACTGTGGATATTTGTACGTGTAATAAGTTTATATTAAAAACCACAGGTGATGTATAAAAAAACCTTAAAACCTTCAGGTTTAGTGTTGGTGTAAAATAAATAAGTGAAATTTTTCTTTCATAAGATTTATTAATTTTGTATTATAACATACTTAAAGAGATGCATAGAAAACTTGCAATTTAAAATTATAAAAAATAAATATATTTTTATGACAATCATTTTTGGGATACATTACCAATAAAAAAAAAGTAAAATGGGGTGTTAAATGCACAATCTAACAATACCCAATCTTAGCAAGAATTCCAAGTTTTATTCAACTAGATTACAACAATTACTACACACTATAAACATAATGCTGGCATGACATCAGCTTTATTCTTTTACTTTAAAAACAGTACTCACTGAGTTTCGACTACTGATGTCACCAATATACACCACAACATTTACTTCTGGAGCCCAAAGACTGAATTCTCTCTGCCAGGAGTTCATAGTGGACAGTGGAACGACCAGAAGAAATGGTCCATACAGGGAGTGCTGGTTCATCAGGTAAGACAAAAAACCTATTGTCTGTATTGTCTTACCCAAGCCCATTTCATCAGCTAGAATCACACCATTTTCTCTGAAATAAAACTTTCTTTTACATTCAAAGTTTTCAGGTCCCTTCTAATAATGAAAAAACAAAACAAATATAGCACAGTTTCAGTTTAGAATTTTCTTTTTTATTCTTTTAAGAACTTCCTTATCATATACAAATACCAGTTTCTTCATCACTTTTTGAAAAATGGAATTCCAGAACAAAGTGAGGAGTAAAATACTGGAAACTGATGCAAATATCACAGCTGGGGTTAATAAAAGTAGTTTTTAAGTGTTTTTTTATTTACATTCTCTGCACTCTAATAAGCATTGCATAATATAAAGTCCAATTTAAGGTTTCCTCTATGTTACAATGGAATAAAATTTAAAATATATTTGAACATTTACACAATCATATAGCAAAATCTATTAAACTTGTTGAATTAGATACAAAAACAACACTAAAAGTTTTTTTATAAATAAGCATTTCATAGAAATGTGTTAATGTTAACTTTAAAACATGCAATAGAAAAGGAAATACTTAGAAAGTTCACAGAGACAACACTAAATACAAATTTAGATTCACTGATGTCAGCACCACCTACAAAACAAAATTAAAACTAATGCTTGCTTTTAGCGCAATTTCTTATTTTACATTTTTAAAAGCCTAGTGCTCTATTTTAAACTATTTATTAGCATCTTCTGTATGAATGATGGAAAAATCAAAAAACATTTACCCAATATCTGAATAAACAAAATGCTGATCAAGAAAGAAAGCAAGCATAAGGCCAAATCTTCAGACTACCCATTTAAATGAAACGTGCTAATTCATTTCTGCTTTTAAACACGAAAAAAATATAAAAGTTGGGGTTCAAGGAACTTCACATACTTATTTTGTATGCAAAACTATTGAAACATTAGGTGCTTTTGCCTTTGTTTCATTTACCACACATAAAACTTTGTCCTGGAGATCTCATAATTAAGCAAGGAATTAACACTGACCTGCACCAAGAGTGTGCCAACCAGTTGACACCTTCCAACTGATAATCTCGTAATTCCAGTCCATCACGTCCTCCAATGTATTCTGGTTGAGTTTTGAAAGGGACAAATTTGGGTCGAACTTTCAAAACCTACAACACAGTAAAAAAAATTAAACAATTTATACTTAGAGAAATATATTAAAGTACTCAACAGTCAACATTGTATAATATACAATTAAATTCTATTTAAAACTGATCAACAGTCATAAAAATGTTTCAAAGTCATTAATGTCATCAGTTTATACTTGCTCAGAATAGAAATGTATTACAAAACTTTTTTTCTCAGACTTGTATAAGTTAACTATCAAATAAACATATTCAAATACCAATGCTTGAAAGTCATGTTTCATCTAAGGCCCTTTCTGGATCGGGGGATGTGGGGGTATTACTAATATTCCCCTACCTGCAATGAAAATACTTAAGCAAATTGTGTGACACTCAGCATAATCTTTCTAAATAGCATCTTGTTTTTGCTTTATAAAATTTGTATAATTTGATTTGGTATTTCTACTATTTTTTTAGTTTGTGAAATTAAAAAAAAATTTATTTGGAGAAATTGTTTTGAAAAAAGAACTTAAAAAACAAAGTTCAATTTAGAATTTCAATCAGATTTCAGCTTGATATTAGCCCCCCAACAGGTCAGCGGTGGACAGTGTGCTGATAGTCCACTATGTATCTTCGCACTAAAATAACAACAGCATCAACTTGATGTTCATTAAAGTTTTTCTATTGATTCTTTATTTTGGCAACTGAAGCAGTCACAATTTCTAATTATAACACATGAATAAGACAGCAAAAACTGACAAATATTTATCAGTAACATAGGACCATACCTCTCAAAATGGCATCACTATTAGCTACTGTAATTTTCTGAATATAATACACATTTTTTCATTAAGAATTTGATTACAAGTTAGGATGCATATAAGACAACAAATCTAAATGTATATTCGATATTCAAAACTATAAATCACTTTCAGTAAAACCTTGAAATTTTGAGTTTGAATTACTGTCCTTGAAAGGTTGGTGCAACCTCTCTACATAGCACACACTAAGGCAAACTAATTTTTAATGATTTAATGGATGCTGTAACATTCTGACAACGTTTATTTGCCAACTATTATTGCAAACGCTATGGCCAAAGTGCAATTAGATTATATGAACAATCTAACATTCTTGTCCTCAAAAAGTTACTTTGACTACAGTATTGCAGAAGTCTAGGTACATATTATTTATGGTGAAAAGGTAAATTTGACTCTTTGTTCATGAAAATAAGAGTGCATGTTATATTTGGAATATTCTGGTATATATAGTGACTTTTACAAAAAAAAATTTTTTTAAATTATTGTTTGAAATCAGTTTATATCTAACAAAGAGTTTCTTTTCAATAAATAATAAACTTTTTATTAGCGTGTTGTTTGAATATGAATAACACTTGATAAAAGAGACTTGAGCCGTTTGAATAGTTTGTGATCACCTTATTACAGTACTCGCTAAATGTAACTACTTTTATTTGATGTCTTTTTATGGAATACAATTCTTGTAGACTTCAAGCAGATATATTTCAGCACAGAAATATTTTAGGGAATGAAAACAATGTCCAAAGAAACTGTCAAAATTTACCAGGTCTGTGATTTGTTTTTCCTAGGTGTTGTAAACTTTATATTAGAGTTGTGTGTTTACATCTATGTGTGCTTCAGGAAGTCAATATTTTGATAAACCACAAGCTACTGCTTCAAGTCCCTTTGTTTACTCTATACTAATGTAGAAATATTAGAATCTCCATCTAGCAATTTTCTCAGCTGAGCTTCATTAGTAATGTTGTAACTTCATTAAAAAAAAAAGTGGCAGTGTCGGACTGTATAACAGAGAAAAAAAATCTCTTGAAAATACAAACATTATATCTTTAACAGAATGATACTTCCTTGATAAATATAAACCTATACTTTGGTTTGATCATATAAAATGGTTTCATCACTAATATAAATTGCTTATTAATTTCAAAGTGGGTGGTAACTTAGAAAAAATACAAGATTAATACTTCAGTTATGACAAGAACACCCCCCTTCTAAAATGATATTTCTTCAAAGTATTCCAACAACAATGAGGAAAAATGATAGCAATATATGAAAATATTTAAACCTTTCTAAACAAAACTTGAAACTTACCTTACAAACTTTAGTAGGAATCTTTTGATTTTTTTGTCGTGCACAGAAATCATCAATAAATTTTTTGAACTTGCGTGTGACAAGTGCCCCATCCTCCCATGTAGCTTCTGAGTAAGGAAGACCTTCCCACTTAATTAGGTAGTCTGGTTCTCGTCCATGTTCATTCTTATTCTCTGCTATTAAAATTTAAAATTCCTATTTTCAGCCAAAGTGAGTTTTTCTACTGGAGTAATAATATATTTTATAAATATATGTATTTGTTAATAATACATAATTTCTAGTTTATTTGCTTTGTGGTATCATACCTCAATGACTTCACAAGTTTAAAACTATGAGAAAAGTTAGAACTCCTCAGTCTCTATGCACACAGTAGAGATTTAAAAAGGTCTACAAAAAATTGTCTTGATATTTACTCTTCCAAGTGCTGTAAAAATATTATGATGTCAACTCTCTATGACAACCATGCATCTTGACAATAGCTCTACTCTGTATCTTCCATTACTAAAACATGTCAAAAAGCTGACAAAAACACATTACTCCTCCTTGCAGGCTTTCCATAATCCATCTCATGTACCTGTTTTAATAGTCCAATCACACAGAAATCCATATGCAATTGGGCTGGTACACCTTTGTAAAAATAGCATGAATAACTGTTTGAGATATGCGATGGATGAATGGGTGAGACAATGGGAATCCTTATCTTGGTGAACAAATAAAACCTATTGGCCTCATTTCACACTGTTGAATGGTACATGTGGATGGCTTTTACCCTCTCAATACGGGATTGATCAATTTGACTGAGTCACAGTGACATTTTGTACTCATTTAACCCTATCACCCCAGGTACCCTTTACTGCGCATGACACAAGGTTTTAGTGTCTGACATTGAAAATTTTATTAAACTACTTTCTGTTTAAGTTATACCAATTAGAATATCATAAAAATCTTATCTAATAATCCATATTTTAATAGTATATAAGTTTTAAGTTCTTAATTCTACGTGGAAATATTTTTTAAAATCCTGTATTTCCACTAGTGTGACCCATGTGACACATTTTGTCTTAGCATGTCATCATCCATCACCCCCCGAAAATGTACAAAATTAAACGGAAAATACTTTCTATAAAATCGTTATAGCTTTCAATTTACATTACCCACGAACTGCTCGTGTGCATGCCTCATTTTAATTATATTATTACTTATTTTATCTAATCTAGTCTTAAATAGCTGAAAAAGATCCGTATCTTTATATTTTAGTTACTTTTATAATAATAAATAAAGAATAAATATGAAAAATAAAAATAAAGTATTTACCAACCTTCTTTTTTCTTGCCCTCAATTGTCGAGGAGAGTCAAGATTAATTTTTTATAGTAACTATAGTAAAGCAATTAACAATTTTTATCTAATTGAATAATGCGCCAAAGAATATGGACTAATAACATGCAAAAAGTAGACAAATTCACTTACCTCTCAAAATTGTCCTGGCTTTCTAACTATACAACAAAAGCCATTACAAATTCATCCATGCTATTCGTTAACTTTCCCATGGGAATGAATCTTGTACTGAGTGAAATTGACAATATTCTGTTCAGAATATAATGTTATACAATACATCATTTGATAGATGAAAACCTTGACTTTCTATTGGTTACAGGTAATATGTAATGAAATGTAAGAGAGAACTATCAATGAATTGGGACAGGTGGGTGTGGCAGGAGGGGGTCTGATTTTCTATTCGATAGCTCTGTAAACAAACAAAATTGAAAGCTATAAAAATTATGGTTTGTTTGAGCAATAACGATTTTATAGAGTATTTTCCGTTTAATTTTGTACATTTTCAGGGGGTGATGGATGATGACATGCTAAGACAAAATGTGTCACATGGGTTACACTAGTGGAAATACATGATTTTTAAAAATATATCCTTATAGAATTAAGAACTTAAAACTTATATACTATTAAAATATGCATTACTAGCTTAGATTTTATGCTATTCTAATTGGTATAACATACACAAAAAGTAGTTTTGTTTAATGTCAGACACTAAAACATTGTGTCATGTACAGTAAAGGGTAGCTAGGGCAATAGGGTTAACAATGACCTTTGTGATCATGGATTCTCAATTAACAAGACATAGCACTCTGCTTCCCATGGCTATGGTACAACTTCTTGCAATCTTTTTCTGTATAGTCTTGGTGTTCCAAGTTGAGCCATATTCCTTTGTTTTCCAATACCCATATTGGGAATTCTAAATACCAAACCAGAACACATCCTTTTAACCGAGTGTATGAATATTTGACAATATAAATAGCTGTTACATACTCTTGCCAATAGCAATAAATTTTTTTTATATCAAAGTACATATATAATGTCAAAATATAGGTTTGATGTATGCCATTTCACCATGTCTTCATATTAGCTGTGGTTGTCATGTAACTTGCTGATTTGCTTATTCAAAATTGTTTAAATATAACAAATTTGATTCTGTATTATTATCTTAGAAATGAAAGTTGTGGATTCAAAATATGATTGGTTTAAAACACTTTAAAGAAAATCACTGACTAATTTATGATCATTTCAAACAGTAAGAGCTACAGAGTTACGTATAACAAAGAATAGTGATGACTAAGACGTTTTATGACCTTTTAAACCTTCTGAAACTAAATAAGAAAATACTAATAAGCAAATTTGAAATCACACTTTTACAAATTACTTTTTCTTTTACTGTACCCGAATAACTCACATTAAATACAAATCTAATAAGAGCTTCTACCTATTATCCTTTCAACCAACATCTGTCTTTCTTGAAGTTCTGTGGTCATTTCCTGTTGACAATCATAATACTCTATGTCTTCTCGAGTTGCTGCGTCTTTCCTAAAATTACACAAAGAAAAATATTTTAAATATGAAGATTAAGTAATGATTGTACAGAAGTTGATAGCTCTTTTGGTTATCACAATATTCATAAAATAATAAAAAGAAGTAAAACTGTTCTTGAGCAATAACTTAGTATTAGAGTTTTTGAACAATTCAATGTTTGCTTTGTGATTTCATCACTAAACTGTGAGAATGTCCAAAAGTCATATTTTATTCTAGATTCAGTTGCAAGAATAAATTTGGAAGATGCAATGTTTGAGAAATACAAAAGTTATTAAAGCAGTCATGATTGGGTTGCTGTTGAAGTTAAAACAATCAGAAAGGGTAACCTGAAAACATTAAAACACAAACATAACAGGAAAAAAAAACTGTGAAGCAGAACAAGACACTTTCTTCTCACTAGAACAACTTCTAATGTCTTTACATCATTCAGTGTTTGACAGACTGGGAAAACCTCAACCAACAAAAAATCATAAGAAATAACAGATGAACATTTATTTTTGTTTCTACTAGGTTCACAGAGTATCTTAAATGTCATGAACATGTTGAAAACTATTTTTACAGCACAAATCAAGATCAATATGGAATGGCCCTGAGCAAAAGTAGTATTGTTTTGGAAGACTTTCCATTAACACCTAAACAACATTTTGAGAGTTTCTTTGCATTCTTCAAAGAAAGAGATTCAATCCTAAACTTACACAAAGTTTTATAAGAGAAACTGATAGAGTTGATTTTCTCTTGATCATATTGCTATTAAAATATGGCATTTTCTATACAATTGAGTCACGATTTTAGGGTTAAAACAAAATGATAAAACCATGGATGTTTATTGCAATGAAGATACATTATTGTGATTTTTGTACAGATGCAATAGCTTTAAGAAAGGAACAGGAGAGTTTTATTTTGGAAGTTTACATTAATAAAATATTCTTCTTAATAAATAACCTTAATTAACCTTAAATTTCATAATTATTCTGAAAATTTGAAAGATAATGAATTTTCCTAAAAGAAAAAACCTTTTATGGGTTAAAATTTGATACAAAAGGTATATCTTTTTGTTACTCTGGTCATACAGACCATTACAAATTATATTGTGAATTTCAAAACCAAATACAGAAGTATTTTCATTTCCAAATTTTAAATCATTTAACCATCAAAAATAGTTTTGAAAACTAAGAGCCTAATGTTTGCTAAATGTGTTTTACTTGCTGGAGTTAACAAGAACATCACAGCAACCAAAACATCATCATCAGCCACATGGGTACACAAGATCAGCCAGATTACAAACAGTAAAGGACTACAAAATTAAATTTCCTTTACATTATTACTTTTTTTTTTGTATTTTTTACTTGCTGGATTCACTCACCAATAAATAAACATAAAATCTCCTTCTCGAGGATAAACATCTTGAAACCATTCGAACTCGTTAAAACATAAACTAACCAAAAGAGAACTTGCATAAATATAACCTATTCATAGTTGAAAGCAGGAAAATATGGTAATTTCAGAGAAACATTCACTAAAATTAAAAGTTATTATGCAGAGCTTGATATGAATTGCAATCAAATACAAATAGAAACATTTTTTAAAGATTTTTGACAGAAATGTTGTGTTTGACAGATACTATAACTTAGTAAAGTAGAGTATACTGGGAAGTAAAAATGAAATATATTCTGTAAGTGTACACAAGTTATGAATTGCTGAAGAAGAACAAAAATTGAAAAAAGTTACATATTATGCTTAGAACTTAAAAACTGTATATAATTCATAAATCTATGATGCTAACCCAACATAAATGAGACAAATACCATTCTAGTTTCAATAATAGGTACCGCTGACAATTATCAAACACATTAAGCATTAATATTGGAAGTGAAAAATTATGTCTTAGCTTTTTCCAGGCTGGAAGGGTATCAATGATATCCCTTGAAGTTACCCTTCTCACGGTGAAAATAATTATTCACGATGTAAGAAACTCAGAACAAACGTACACCAGGAGACTTGTATATATAAGACACAATGATTTGTAAGCATAATGAATCAATACAATACTAAACTGTATGTAGATTTTGGCTTAAAAACCTTGTATAATTTTATTTATCTTTTTACCATTCTATTATTGTTATGAAGTTTCCAAAATTTTGTTGTGAGAAACTTTTTAAAAAAACACCAAAAATATTTTCTTTGATCTTAGAGTTTCAATTATTTTTTATTTTGGCAATTAGAAGATTTAACGTTATATATCCAGCCAATTTCAAATTAATCAATTTTTGTATTTTTAAATATCTGATTACCATAGTTACTAATTCCTGCTGTAAGTAATAAAAAAATTAAACTGTGTAAAAAACAAACAAATGACCAAGGACCTGACCTTTCAAAAATGCTGTGAGGTTATAAAATATTGGGAACAAGAATTTGTAGTTATAAAATTAATGACAGGGAATGAAAAACTTGATAAAAACACGATTGAATCATTATATTATCTAAAGATGATAGTGTCTTATCATATATAAACCTATGTTTTAGAATAAGGCAGAAAACTTCTAAAACATCATTAAGTGTTGTTTATAATAAAAACTCAAAGTTGCAGAAAATATATGTTTTTCTTTTTTCTTGCAAGTTACACTAAGTAAATGCTACAAAATGACAAAATATGAATTCTAAAATGCTTTGGAATTAAAAACTGTTAACATATAGAACTCAGTACTTGTCATGATATTAAAGACTGTTTGGTTTAAATATTAGTGATTAATTTATAGTTTTGAGTGAATATTTTAATATTTTTAAGTTTGTTATAATAAGAGATAAAAGCAGATGATTGTAGTAGGTTTTGTTAATAACTAATTGGTGTCAAGAATATAGAAAGTGGTCAGACTACTATGTAATAAAGATATAAATAGCATGAGACAAGCAGGAAGCAGTAGACGGACAACAATAGACAGATAACAGCAAAAGAGAATATAGTTGTGTGAAGTTAAGTACCGCAAAGGTGATAGGCCTAATGTTTAATATGTCAGAGTGAAACTAACAGTAAAAAAAAGATAACAAGGATAATTTTATTTCATCAAAGCATGGTTCTAAAGTAATTGAATCTGACTGGGTACCTCTGACAAAAGGAACAGAGGATCTTCAGAAGAAAGAAGACCAAACGAATTACGGTAACTTGTGCCACAACTGTAAGTGTAAGTGAATCACACACAGAATACTAGTACGATAGTAATATAGAGAAAATAGTTCAACTTGTCAATTGAAATTCTAAAGTAACTGAATAGGCCTAAGTGAACTTTTGACAAGAAAAAGAGAACTATATATAAATAGTGTTTATGATATGCCTGTAATCTCTCTATAGTGTGAAGAATTTGTTGTACATACGTTTAACTTGTTCCAAATATATATATATATATATATTATATGAAAACAAGTAAAGTGTGTGCTGTTTATTCATCATTTAATTTATCGCTAACAAGTCACAGACACCTAGTGTAGAAGAATCCTAAGCCAAACAACAGCATAGTATATATTTATACTATTAAGAAATATAAGAAAAAGCTATTTATTTCGACAATTGGCAATAAGAAGAACTGGTATATATAAATCTTATTTTTAAAATTTGACAGTACTTTTTTATTTAAACTTTGAAATTCAATATGCAGGTCTGCATTTAAAAGCTAAAAGATGCTCACTTGTCATAATAAGGTTGCAGTTATTATCTAAGATATTTGTTAAAGAAGTAAAAAACTTTCACAAAGTCCATTGAAAATAGATTGATTTTTAGGTGTCTTTAACACCAAAGTGAGATGATCAAATTTCAACCAACAAAGTCACCCAAACACACTGTACAATAAAATGCTTTATCTTACAGTTAAAACATATAAGACTGATACCATTTTAGTTTTTATATGAAACACACACGTTCCACTTCCTTTTTTGCAGTGAAGTATAGAGTCGAAATACAACTTTAGAATAACAATGCTTTATGTGAAACAGTTGTTTAGGCTTACAACTATTCATATCATACTCAAAATTTTGTATAAAAAATTTTTACACCACCAAAACATTTATGAAACAGAATCCCTTACCATAATCTGATTTCTTCTTCTCTTTTCACATAGTTTTCAACCTTCTTCATTCCTTTTGCACCCTGTGCACGTAGTGAAGCATCAGATTCCCAAGTGTTGTGAAGGTGAGACCAGCCTTTCCACTTAATTAGAAATTGCATTTCTTTTTCTGGAGCATCCGCATCATTTGGGTCCCCTTTCTCCTCGATGGCATACACGGTCGTGTCAGCTCCAGTTGCTGTAAAGTTTGATCGTATTTCAATTTGGAACTTAATTATACCTTTAACATTTACATTTTGAACATAAGTATGCAGAATATTAAGTTTCTCTTTATGAATTTATCATAAAGTATAAATAAGTAAAGTTCGTGGAATAGTTCTATCAAATAAATGTTCTTTAAACAAAAATAACTTCTAAAGATTTTGGTGCCAACACATTTATCATATAAAATGATCAAAAAAAGAATTTAACAAAATACTTGATACTTGGAAAATACACTATACCTCGATTG